ATTTGAAGTGTATAAAACAGTATATTACATGTTCCTTGATGCCTGATTCTGAGCAAAACCCAGTAGCCTCCAGTACACTTCCCTTCAAAAGTACTACAAACTACTTAACTGGATTACAAGCTGCAAACAGACTGCACTGTACTCGGAGAGGTGCAGCAGTCCTACATAGCATCAGGAGACTATGGGAAAAGGAAAAAATAAACAGCATTGTCTATTATTAAGAATATACACATAGAAAAATGCACCAGGCCTCATATATTGCCGGTATCCCATGTGAAACAGCAGGGTGCTGTTTGAACCTCAGTGACCTAAGCAAATGATGTTGCTTCTCTCTCCATCTGCCTGATGCTAACACATATGTTGTTAGCATCCATGTTGCAGCAGCATGTAAACATCACCGCAGCTGCTTCGTACTTCTATGCTTCTAATGTTTCTGATATACATATGAAGAAGTTAAGGCTGTTTAAGGACCTGAGGATTTTTGAACATATGATGAGGCACACAGAAGGCAAAGAATAGCTCTAGACACAGGGCTAACTGAATGCTTGAAGTGCATGAGACAGCAGCAAGGGTCTGGCAACCAGTGCAGTCCAGGGGACAAATTAGCCAGGAAAAGGCCGTCCATGACACTTTGGTCCGTCTTCTGTTGTGTGGATGCCTTTACACGTCACCTATTGTTTTTGCCTTACCGTAGAGAGGACAAACACTAAAAACATGCTAATGCTTTATTTAATTTGAGAGGTTTGGACTTCATTTTTTCTTCTTCTTCTTTCAGCTGCTTCCTTCTTCAGGGGTCACCACAGTGAACTAACTCGCACAAAGACTTGGTGATATTTTTATGTCAAATGCCCTTCCTGACGCAACCACAGACCACTGAGCTACCACAGCCCTCTGTGTGGAGCAGAGAGCTGCTATCTAGAGTGCCCAGGGGAGCAGATAGTGGGGGTTAGGCCCAGAGTGGGGCAAATAAGGGTGGAGACAGGTGTGAGTGTTTCACCTTTTAGACCCACATTTTGGTGTTGTCGGTCAGGGGAGTCAAACTTAAATTTTATGGGGATGTTAAAAGTTTTCAGTTTATTCAACAATTGTTTTTGAACACTTGCTCCTTGTACCTCCCTGTAATATTAAAACGTTACTGCTCACTGTAATGATTTATTCAGCCCAATCTGTTCGTAAAACAGAATAATCTGAAAACAGTGATTGAGTTTCTTAACAGCTGTGGAATCACAATTTTCACATTGTTATGAATTAGTTATCGTCAGGTTTGTTGGTGAAGTAGGATCCAAGGATGATGACTTTCTTTCTAAAACGTCTCCCATTGATCAGTTGAAGCTGCTACCAGAGTTCTGATGAGAGTTACAAAGAGTTCACATTTCTACAATCTTGGCTGCTCTAGTCGCTCCATGTCAAATTCAGTTAAATTCAATTTGGTTTATTTCTATAGCACAAATTCACAACAAAATTGTCTCAGGGCACTTTATAGGAACATACACATACATAGAAAATCCAGTTAGTAAAGTTCTCTATCTAAAGAAGCCAGCAGACACGTTGAATCTTCACTTTGTCACAGGTTCCCATTCTGAGCAAGGACAAAGGCAACAGTGGAAATGAAAAACTCTCTTTTAACGGGAAGAAACCTCCAGCACAACCAGGCTCAGGATAATTCAAGTTCAGAATAGAATTGAAAAAGTCTAACATACAAAAGTTCTGAACAACCAAGCTCGATCTCACTTTAAAAATCCTGTCGTTCCATATTTTCCTAATAGAACACTTCACTCCCAGACTGCAGGTTTACTTGTGACTCCTAGAGTTTCTAAAAGTAGAATGGCCTTCAGTTATCATACTTTTTCCTCTTGTGAATCTAACTTCCAGTTTAAATTCCTGAAGTTAACAACCTGTCAACTTTCAAGACTTTCCTTCTGGATGAATCTTATAGCAAAGCCCCTTTTCCATTAGTAATGTTAGTAATGGTACAGCACGGTTCGACTCGGCGGTACGATTCAAAGCTTTTTCCAATAGCACTTATTCGGGGAACCGGCCCCTTTTTCAGTTCCTTTTTCTCTAGGGTTCCAACCGTACTGTGCTGGCCTTAAAACGTGATGTCAGAACACTGTCGGTCATTGATTGGTCAGGGAGTGGAGTCATTGGTTGTTTGAGAAACTTTCACAACAACCCTATCTGCCATTTGCAATAACTAGAACTCTGAGGAGTGATTGAACCTATTTTAAACATTTTAAAAACTATAATGACAACACCGTGGTCTAATGCTGTACAGGTGTTTTTTGTGCTTGGTGGCCGACGACAAAATTCAGAGCGAACTAGATGAAGCTCTGCCAGTCCTCTCCACCGGAGCCTCGGAGTTCCCTAAGGCCGGGCAAGGCATCACTTCCCTGGCTCCGAGCTCCACCGGTCACTGCGGAGGATCATACGAACTGCCGACCTGCAGGAGCGCGCGAGGCCCGGGCCCCGGCCTCGTGCGCTCCTGCAGGCTCTGAGCTGAACCCACCCACTAAAAACAACACAACTCATACGGTGTCGAACCGTGCTGGACCGGCACTAATGGTACTAATGGAAAAGAGGCATTAGAGTCAGCTTGGATTTCCTGAGCTATCCCTTAGTTCTGCTGGCTTAAGCCCCCAGTATTCTCCCGCGTATGTCCATATGCAGAGGTACGCACGTATGTACGCGGAGGTACGAGTGTACCCCCCAGGGCATGTCCATGCAAAGCTCAAATTTTTACGACCGCATACGCGTACACGGTGTCGCATAATAAACTGCCCAGCGACGGACTGTTTTGTATGCGACACCAATATATTAAATTCCCCTTCTTCATCTCTGATCTGGCCTTTTCTTTTTTTTTTTTTTTTTTTTTTTGCCAAGAGGCAAGTAAGCTCTTCCTCCTCCGTTGATGCCATGACTGAAATGGTGAGAAATGAAGGAATTTGTCACGAGCAACTTAAACTCAGGTCCAGCGTGGCTGCGGGAGGGTTTGGAGATTTCCTGGTGGACTGGTTTGATGTGTGGGCTGCAGAGCTAGCGCTCCCTGTTTTTTTTTTGTTTTTTTTAATTAAGATCTTTTTATTAAAAACATATAAACACAGAACACCGCTGCGGCTGAGGCTGCCAGCGCTTGTTTGTTTTTTTCTTTTTTCCGACCTGTCAATCAATACAGTAGGCGTGTCAGCAAATGACCAATCGGCGACCTCAATTTGTCCTGAAGGTAAACGCCCCTTGTCTGTGAAGCTGCTCTGCAGCTGCTCAAGGTGGACTCTCGAGTACGAAGTCTGAACCCTCTGCGTGCAGTACACGCATATGCACGTGTGAATGGACGTACATGGGAGTATACTGGGGGCTTCAGACTGCTGGAGGACAAACTGACCACATTTCCTCACTCTGCTGCTGTCTTTACTCACTCCATCCATGTTTGTATTTGCAGTTACAACTAACCTTCATTTGTTCATCTCTCCATAGAAACCATGCCTGACCCAGTACTTTGTGTATGTCTGCATCTCTTTTCTATGCGCTTTAAACTCCAGTCAGCTGAGACAGATGTCTGTTCTGGTTCTAGTTCTGCTCAAGGTTTCTTCCTGTAGAAGGGAGTTGTTCCTTTCCACTGTCTCCTCTGTGTCTGTTCAGGTCAGGGAGAATGTCCTCTACTGGATTACTTAAATACTGTAGATCACTTTTACTATTGTAAAATGTAAATGTTACTGCCTTTAGTTATAAATTGATTATGAATGTAATGTATTATTATTAGATTGAGTTGACATTTTATAACAGATTTACAGATTGTGGTTTATAATTTGAACTTGTTACTTCTTAGGACAGTGCCCTGAAATGACTTTTGTTGTGAATTGTTGCTATACATACATATATATATATATATATATATATATATATATATATATATATTTGAATTTAACTGACTTTGTGCAAAAAATAGCTATTTACCATTTGTCAGAAATAAAATGTGTACTTTATTATCAAATTCATGGCCACTTTATATTATAGCTTATTAGTATTACACACATTTAGTGTGACATTGATCACAGCACCAGTTGTATAATCCTGCTAATTTGAGCTCATATTTTGAAAGGCTTTTGCACAGCAGAGTGAATTTAGTCTTTTACTGTGTAATAAGAATGATTAGATTGTGTCAGGATTTTATAATGTTCTTTTTGCAAAAACAATTATTGTCAAAATTAATCTTTATTCTTGTTGTTTGCAGACAACGGAAATAAATCTGAACCAATTTAGTTAACGACTACATTTAAATATAGCTGTTCTATTTTCCAAATTTTCACTATAAACATTTAAAGCATGAGCATACATCTAATGTTGTCCATCTCTTTACAGTCCATGAAACAAAACAAAACTAAACAAATAATGAAAAAAAAAAAACCAAAAAACAATGTTATACAAAACACCAAAGACGTTTTTCGGGTAAAAAAATCATTTGACATAGTGAAGAACCTTAAACGTACAGGTGTACCAGTTAGCAGTTCTTTCACTCATCTGAAAAGCATCTGTCTAACTGGTACCAAATGCACTAGTATTACCTGACTATGCAAGACAAAAGGAGAGCTGTCAAAGTATATTCTTCAATTTCAAACTGTAAAACTGAACAGCAATATTTTCCATGCATTTAAATGCTCTTACCCAACAAGCCCAGGCCATTTCTAAATCCATTAAGAAAAGAACATCTATAAAAGCTCAACATGTCATACAAAAAGATGCATATAAGACTTTTTATTTTCTTTATTTTTCTCATATTAAAGCTGCTTTGGTAACAACATAGTCACGACATCAGTCAATCTCCTTTACCTGGCCTGGGTGCTGAAAGACACTCCACATCAGTCCTCTGAGGGACACACTTTTAATTGTTACCCTCAGAGTCTTCCCTCGTTCACTCAAATCTAAATAAATGGATTTAGTTACACCGGAGTGGGCTGTGTTTCTGATTGGGAGCTCGCTCCACATCAGATGTAACATCTGCCAGGAGCTGTTTGTCATAAAGATGTCCGTGCTGTAAAAGACAGAGCTATTGTGCTGAGGGCGGACAGGGTGGAGACCTTGGAAGCTGACCCCATTGCGTTGGGACCTGAAATGGTAGCAAAAAGAACAAATCTGTTAGTCTGCTTGCTGTGAGAGGAAAATACATCGTTTGGTTATTTTGTGTTTTTGCTTTTGTGTGCTTTAGAATTTTTTTCAAGCGGAAAATTTATTAATGAAACCGTTTTAAATAGACTTTACACCAGGGGTGTCCAGACTTTTTCAGCATGCAGCTCCTTTTAAAATGAACAAGTCAAAGTGATCTACCTACTAAAAGGCCCAGTTTACACAAGAACAACCTCTGGAGATATCCTGATGCATGTTCAATAATCCAGGTAGAAAATTCCAAAAAAGTTCAATCTGGTCTTCTGGACATTAAAAAAAAAAAAAAAAACAAAGCAAAAAAATGTAGAAACCTTTCGTCTCTCACCCAAAAGACTTCCTCAGTCTGAGGTGCTGTATTCAGCTCAGTCTCTTAAATAGCACCTTCTCAGAGTGGATCAACCAGTTTGCTGCTGACAACCAAAACCAGCTGCTCACATGGTCAAGAAGGACCATCAGCCTAACAATGGATCATTAGCACACTGATGGCTGTTTACTATTCACAGGGGGTTGAGTGATACTAGCAATACCAGCATTGTAAGAGGGGGACAGTTGAACCCGGAGGCCTCCACCCCTGTTTAATGATGGA